TAAGACCAATATTGGATTACTGTTCACCTCTTTGGGTTCCCTTTCAATCTGCCCATATCAGTCGCATAAAAGCAGTTCAAAAAAGATTTTTAAGCCTGATTACCGAACAATTGGAGAAAACAGAGATACACCATACTCATCGTTAATGACGAATCTGAAATTGACGACTGTTCTGTACAGTAAGAATTTCTTTGATTGTATATTATTGTAAAATTATTACATTCCTTAACTGATTGCCCTTTACTGCTTAACCGAATTAACTTTCATGTTCCATCATATCATTCCAGAAGTCAAATAACATTCTCCATCGTTTGCCATAGAACTAATTATGCCAAATACAGTTTTATACCAAGAACGACAAAGTTTTTCAACTCTTTCGAAAATATAGGTATATTTAATATCTGATTATTGTAATAATCTGAGATTATTTTAAACTTTTTTATATAGTTTAACATGTTCGCGGACCTCGGCAGTCGAGTGGTTAGCGTGATTGACCCTCGGCTCGTAGAACCCGAGGTCATGGGTTCGATTCCCACCGTCTCAGCATCTTATTATTTCTCCTTTGGCTAATATGCAAGATAATAAGGCTATAAAAAACAACAAATCTTTGTTCTCTCCTATCAACATATGGAAAAAACATGAGCTCTATTTATAGAATGCTACTTACGGACGTTATTTTTATCTCTTCCCTTCTGTCTTTGTACATGTTGAACTAAGGAATATCTACATCTGACTCAAGCCGTCTTTTTTAGAGGATAGGGATGGGCATAAAACAGCTCATTGTTCCAAAGTGTTTTTCACTTGTTTACAATATAAATAATGGATCGCGGGATTAATTTTTGACCACCCTGGATAAACCGCACGTTTTTCAGTTTAAGGATTCACTGAGAGGACGACACGTTCATACTCAATAACCATGGATTTGCATGTAGAATAACAACGAGTAGATAGCAAACTTTGTAAAATTGAATTTTCTTTTCAAACTCTTATGTACGAATGTACTAATTTTTTAAATAAATAGTAGACTAAGGTCATGAAAGGCAATATACAAATTTAGCCTACATCGGGATTTAAAATGTTTCCGAGTATTTAACATTGGCGGGTAAAATCTTACATAGTTCTCGATTCTGAAGTTTTTACCTCAAAGAGCGATATTTTTGGGTATGTCAAGGCTTTTTCTGCGACACAGCCTCAAGGTTGTTTCAAACAAACACCATTAAGAGCAGCAGATGCGGAAGACGAACAGGTTTGACCGAGAAAAAAAGGAATATTTCACGTCCAATCTCTGGATAATCAGATTGTGGTTTTTTTAATACTCGAGTTTAATTTAGAATGAAAATGTGTATGCACGTGATTTTAATCAGTGTGATTTAATCTAAAAGGCCGTGCAGTGCGGGATGAACCATAGACGTCGTTTTTGCTTAAATATTGCACAGTATCCGCCCCTTGTAAATTATCTATTGTTTTAATAAACCCGCTCAGAGAAGATGGACAGATAGCCGTTCCTTCAGCGCCGATAAATCACGGTTCGGCCCGGTCTAATGGTTTTTATAGCAAACGGAAGATAAGAACCGCTAACTGGCCATAGAATTGGGACAGCGTCGCCCCGCCCAGGACTTCGTGAAAACTTAATGACAGGTTCTGCCTCACCCGGCTTTAATTGCGTAACCGAGCCAGATGACGAACTACGGGCACTAAATCGAAATTTTACCTTCTGAGGGTCGTGGCCGTGCTCCCTAAACGTTCGCTATTTATCTTCCCCTGTCATCGCCGGGTCGTGAGATATCAATTGTAACAGTTAATGTCTGCATTTCTGGCTATTATGTTCTCACCTTTAGTTAATTTGACGGACAAACAGCCGGTTACATTTTTACTCCGGTTTTTCTTCTTGTCGTCCCATTAAAAAGAAAACACTACCAGTCCCATTTGTATCCACTTTTTGGCATATTAACGCACCCCCTAATTACTCAATATTATCATCACTACTAAAGTCATTGTAAAAATGTCCACTCTTTCCAACAGACGTAAACATCCGGTTTAACAACTCTGTTATTTGTTAAAACCTTTAATAAACCTAAAATTAATTACGTGTGACTATGAGGTGGAGGATATTGACTTAAGTAATCTTTCGCTTGTTTACCATCAAGTATTTGTTTATTTCTTAAAAATCAATACTTTTCTAGAAATTAATTCCTTGATAATATTATAAAAAAATGTTATTTATTAACAAAATAAAAATATACATTTCACTTTAAACAGGTGAACATTAAACACATGAAGCAACAAACATTGCTTTATTAATGCCTTATAAGAAAATGCTCACAATAATAATTAAAATATCCATTATATTTCGTGGTCCGATTGACCAGATAATTTATTTCAATTAATTAATCTTTATGCAAGGTATGGTAGAAATGAAAAAGTTAGTACCACGGGCGGGATTCGAACCCACGACGCCGCTGCTCTACCACTTGAGCTATCCTGACTTCGATTCACTCGGACACGATCTTCCCTCTCAATCCCAGCTCTCGAATTTTCCCTCCTTTTTGTCATTTTTCAAATGAAGTGTAATCTGTTTGAATCTCGGTGACAAATGAAATAGCCACAGAGAGCTTTCCTAAAGATATACTTCAGTTTAATTATTAAATCCATTTCAGTTCATGGTCCGATTGACCAAATAGCTTATTTCAATTAATTAATCTTTATGTAAGGTATTGGTTGAAATGAAAAAGTTAGTGTCACGGGCGGGATTCGAACCCACGACGCCGCTGTTCTAACCACTTGAGCTATCATGACCTCTATCCAGGCGGACACTAACTTCTCATTTCAACCCCACCTTTTCAATTTGTATAAATTCACCTTTTTTCCACATCCTACATGTATTTGTTAAGTTTAAACAATTAAATTCACTAGTTTTCGTGGTCCACTTGACCAATTAATATCATTCAATTAATTAAGGTTTTTAGTTGAGATAAAAAAGTCAGTGTTACGAGCGGGATTCGAACCCACGATCTTCGGCTAAATACGCCGCTGCTCTACCACGAGCTGTCGTGACCTCGATCCACTAGGATACTACTTCCCATCTCAACCCCACCTTTTTGAATTTTCCCTCCTTTTTGCCATTTTGCAAATGTCGTGTAATCTCTTTGAATCTCGGCGACAAATGAAATAGCCACGGAGAGCTTTCGTGAAGATATACTTCAGTTTAATTATTAAATCCATTACATTTCGTGATCCGATTGACCAAATAACTTATTTCAATTAATTAATCTTTATGTAAGGTATTGGTTGAAATGAAAACGTTAGTGCCACGGGCGGGATTCGAACCCACGACCTTCGGCTCAATACGCCGCTGCTCTAACTACTTGAGCTATCGTGACTTCGGTCCACTCGGACACCAACTCCCTTTCCAAACCTCCAAGCCTGTGGGTTCGAATCCCTCTCGTGACAATAACTTTTACATTTCAACCAATAACTTACATAAAGATTAATTGAAAAAAATGTATAAATAGTTACATTAATTGCAAAAATGATAACATTTAGTGTTCTTGAATTTTTACATGAAAAAATTAAGTTATTTCTCGAAAGTTTGATGGGGCCAGGCTCCTGTCCAGGATGTTTATTGAATGTTATTTATTCTTAAAACTTAAACATTTCGTTTTCATTACCGTTTAAATCCTTTAAATATGAAATTTCATTGCTATCAAAAATTACAGGTTTTTTCAATCCAGTAGGGCAAAAAACTAGTTTTGTTTAAAAGCTTAAAATATAAAACGTACCAGCATGGTCTAGGAGATTTGTCGTCGGGGCAGGTACAAACATGTAAAGCTTTGCAAAGCAATTTAGTTGTTAACTGACTAATGAGTTACACAACAAGTTTTTTGGTACCCTATAAACAACAGGCGATCCCGGTTGTAAGGTTGTTACCCTAATAACTTATTGGATAATTATGTTCTCTAATTGACTCCCAAGCGTTTTGATTGCTTCTAATTTATTGCCGGCATAATGGGTTTTGATTCGACTGCACTATTTTTAGGACGGTTAACATCTCCTTCATTAAAGGCCGGGGTCGAATATGGCAGTCGAAGAATTATTGGAAGTCAGATTAAAAGTAATTCGCGTTCTGCTATTGTGAATACATGAGTACTCAGCTAAAGAATTCTTCAAAACAAGTAAATAAATTCAATATTATATTGAATAGTTTAATTCCGAGAATAAATAATTTGAACAAACTTTAGTTCTTACCTCTAGATTTGGACACCAAAACCCAAAATTTCATAAAGCGGAGATCGTGAGATGCGATGTAATGTGACGTAGCTTTCAGAAAAACATTTTTTTATCTTGCCAACGTTTCGATCTTTATTGAGATCATCTTCAGGGCTCAAGTGTTTATTTTCTGCGCAATTGTGCCATTCTTGTCGTGTTGAGAGTGCACTCAAGGATGGCACAATTACGCAGAAAACAAACACTTTGACCCTGAAGATGATCTCAATAAAGATCGAAACGTTGGCACGATAAAGAAAATGTTTGTCTAAAACCTGCGTCATACCAGATCGCATCTCACCATATCCGAATAATCATTGACTAACGGTCACCAATCACCACACATTGCATAAAGCTTCTAAGCCGTCCTTTAAATAAAACATTCTAATCCGGCTAATGAATTCATAAGTGATAAAAAACAGTAAGCAGACTAATTTCTCTAGGCGTATCGATGTCTTTAGTGATTCAGGAAATGAATAAGTGGAAGTGATGATTGATAGCGGTGATTGTCGATGGAGGGGAATGAATAAATGGAAGAGACCATTGAAGTCTCTCGGCATCCCATTCAACCATGGGGGATTTGAGTGAACAAGTCGTTGAACTCTCTTTCTTTATCCGACATAAAAGTTCGAAAGTAGGTTGAACCCTTCCTGTACGCGATACACACGTAGCGTTGAAGTAGATTTGTGAGTTCTCATAGAACGTTTAATTATAAATAAAAGAGGGAAATAACTCACTGGGAAATGGTGTTTTAGGAAATGGCAATTTTTGCAGTATGTGCTTTATAGGCGTGCTGTGGTCCTTCCATGGCTCTGCTGGTTCGATAAGGTAACTTTCATTCGACGTCCGAATGTGTCCAGTCTGAAAAAAACATAAAATCATTGAGTGACTTTGCTAAAAATTAGTAATTAATGGAAATTATTATTTTTATTACATAAATTACCACACGAGGGTTAACATTTCTATTTTTTCAGTGGGAAAGAAGTCTATCGACCATTTACAAGACGTTCAACACAATAGGAGAACTTTAATTCGGCAGCTAGAAAATGAGGACGATAAGGAGAGAGTGAGTGAGTAAGTGAGTGAGTGAGTGAGTGAGTGAGTGAGAGAGTGTGAGAGAGAGAGCGAGAGCGAGAGAGAGAGAAAGAGAGATAGACGATAGATAGAGAGATAGATTGATGGATAGACAGTTAGATAGATAGATAGATACATAGACAGACAGATGGATAGATAGAGATTGAGATAGATAAATAGAGAAGATAGGTAGTGATAGAGGTAGATAGAGATAGAGATATAGGGAGGGAGAGAGAGTGAGAGAGAGAGAGAGAGAGAGATAGAGAGATAGATTGATGGATACAGTTAGATAGATAGATAGATACATAGACAGACAGACAGACAGACAGATAGATGGATAGATAGAGAGATTGAGATAGATAAATAGAAAAGATAGGTAGTGATAGAGGTAGATAGAGATAGAGATATAGGGAGGGAGAGGGAAGGAGGGAGAGAGGGAGGGAGGGAGGGAGGGAGAGAGAGGAGAGAGAGAGAGGGGAGAGAGAGAGAGAGAGAGAGAGNGTGAGAGGGAGAGAGGGCGAGGGAGAGAGAGATAGAGAGAGAGAGAGGGAGAGAAAGAGTGAGTCATAGAAAAAGTATTATTGACATATGGATAGACAGATAAAATGAGTTTGTATGATTACGAACGCGCACGCGTCCTTTTCTATATGTGAGAGAGTGAGAGGTTGTAAGTTAGGAACTAATCACAAGTTTGTTCTTTATATTATACAGACAACATACATTTCAATTATACTTGCAAAACAGGTGAATTGGGTATCGAATCACATTAAACCATCCTTTCACCATTGAAGACAAAACGTTTGATTTAATTTTGTCATCACGATGTTTGAAGGTTGTCCCGGGATTTTGAAATTGGAAATGAAAAAGAATCACTAAAACACATTTGCTTTTAACATTCAACCTTTATGTTATGTTATAAAATTGTTTTATTCACATTCCTATCCATATATGAAACAATTTATAGAAAAAAATTAAACGTAATATATTAAAAAATCATTAAAAGTTGTTAAAACCATGACTGATAGCGGTTTCCCATTAGGAAAGGTAAAAGAAAATGAAGAGTACAGGGTGAAGGTAATCTTTCAACGAATTAAATCGTTAAAACATTGCCATTCCAAAGGCCAGAACCGGTGAAGGTCTTGTGGAAATAATTTACTTTAGTTCAAAAATGCATTAACCATAAACGGAAAAAAATAAACACAAAAACAACCATCCGGTTTTGTAGTGCAATTTGACTGAAGTATCTTGATACGCTTAATGGCGCGTCTCGAGATGGGGCTTCCGACATAACTCACTTTTACCCATTTTTACCAATTGCCCTTGGCCGAAAACGGGGAGACATATTCCCATAGTTCACATTACTTTTTTTGATAGGGCTGAATTAAGAATTGCGTCATTGTTGTCTTCCTGACAATTTTGGTTGTTGACGGAAACGGGGTAATGATGAGTCACGGGCCGAAGAACGATGAAACCAACATTGAAATATCATCCACTTTTTTTCTTCATTTTAATGATTGTCACATCCATATTCTTTATTTTTAGCTAGCGAAGAACAACTTAAACACGGAATCGTTTTGATTTTGTGAGTATCTCCTTGAAATTGATGGATGAACCTGTGATCTTTGTAGTTATTGTTTAGAAGGATATGTATAGAAATATTTTCACAAAATGCGGTACACGTTTGGCCGGCAATATGATACATTAACTGACTTCCTACTCGAATGTCCTATGTTTAGCACCTTAAAGCTCCAACATGACGCCCGACCTGTCAGCAACCGCACATATGTACGATTTATTGTACGTACATTCTTCTGAATAAGTAAACCGAATCTTTAAATACCGTTCTAACGCTCTTAAAGATATAAAATAACTTTACTATTGAAAGACCCATGAATTTACAAAATTAAATATAATATAATCTAAAATCCATTATATTTAGTGGCCTGATTGACCAAATTACTTCATTAAATTAATTAATCTTGTTATGTAAGGTTTTGGCTGAAATGAAAAAGTTAGTGGGGGGATTCGAACCCACGACCTTCGGCTCAATACGCCCTGGTCTAACCACTTGAGCTATCGTGACTTCGATCCACTCGGACACTAACTCCCCATCTCAACCTACAACCTTTCGTATTTTCGCTCCTTTTTGTCATTTTTTGGTGTCCGTGTGAATCGAAGTCACGATAGCTCAAGTGGTTAGAGCAGCGACGTATTGAGCCGAAGGTCGTTGGTTCGAATCCCGCTCGTGACACTAGCTTTTTCATTTCAACCAAAACCTTACATAAAAAGAATTATTAAGAAGTTAGTGTCCGTGTGGATCGAGGTCACGAGAGCTCAAGTGGTCGAGTAGCGGCGTATCTACCCGAAGGTCGTGGGTTCGAATCCCGCTCTTGACACTGACTTTTTTTATCTCAACTAAAAACCTGAACTAATTGAAAGATATTAATTGGTCAAGCGGTCCACGAAAACTAGTGAATTGTTAATTATTAAGATGAGTATTACTGTATGCCATTAAGGGCTAAAACAGGTGTAATAGATAAAATGAAATAAAAATGTTCGAAAATTAGACCGATCTGACTAAAAAGAAGTTAGCAGAGTTGAGACCCTCAGAAGTCAGGTTGGCATGCTAACAACAGTCAGCCAACAGCTGACCTCAGTCGCAAGTCTGTTGAACTGGCCAAACGTACCGGAGTATTAGAAATTCCCTGACTGTGTGGCTGCGCTGATTATTAGATTCTTGATACGGTTGTCCCTGGTCTACACTCTCAAATGTCATGATCAGTACTGTCAGGGCTATTAAATTACAACTAAGTTAATTTTGTGTGACACAAATGAGAATTAGCAATGCCGCAAAAGAATTTTCAACGTATGCTGTGTCCCATAGAGGTCAATTTTTGCGGTTTTTCTCTATTCTGTTCAACTAATGAGCTAATAAAGGCAAGAATTTAAACATAATCTAACTAATAACATAAAAAGCTTACTAGAAAAGCATGTTCATAGTGTGCCTTTGAAAGAGATAATAACGTCTCTTTGTTTTTAGTAGTCGATTTCTGGCTTCACTTAAGTGATTTGTTGTGTGGATTAATTCTTCGGCAACAGCGGTGTAGCAAAATTCGCTTTCCTGACCGAATGAAACGGACCTTTCTAGGAAAAAGGAAATGCAGTGAACTGACTGTAGGAAGAAAGGCTGGCTAAAATCCAAAAAACGCCGTCTATAACAACGCCAAGAACTATGAGAGCTGAATCGTATTGGTGATCTGCCAAAATTCGTCCACAACTCGAGTCTGTCTGGGATTATTTAAAAACGCAACGGTTCGGGGCGTGGCGAGTACGAGATATTCGGTATAAAACAAAATACCCAAACGTATTATGATATTACTTCTTCAACATTTTTTATTAAGTTAAATATAAACAATCAAAGGTTGATAAGGAATTTTGTAGACTTTTGTAGTGCATGTGTGTGTGTTTCTGCCTGGCATTTATGTTTTTATGAAAATATTTTTTTATTTATGTTCAATTTGTCACCTTTCTAATCTATAGTATTAAGTTCAATTCGAAAATTAAAGTCAAAAAGTACATAATCGATTTTTTTAGTATTACCATTTTAGGGTGGGAATGAACATGCAAATGTCGAAGATAAGGTGAAAATTATTTACAAAATCTATAACTTTTGATATAGCTTTTATGAAACTGTTAAACTAAACAACTGCGACAAGAGTCATGAGCATATAAAATATTCAATTTTATGAAATACGATTAACCAAAGGTTGTGTGTTTTTATCATTTATTTTTTAATTAAATTTTTTTTATTTATTAAATTCATTAGATTTCGTGGTCCGATTGACCAAATAACATCTTTTAATTAATTAATCTTTATGTAAGGTATTGGTTGAGATGAAAAAGTCAGTGTCACGAGCGGGTTTCGAACCCACGACCTTCGGCCCAATACGCCGCTACACTACCACCTGAGCTATCATGACTTCAAGGTCGTGGGTTCGAATCCCGTTCGTGACATTGACTTTTTTATCTCAACTAAAAACCTTAATTAATTTTAATAATATCGTTCACCTTTAAATTAATGTATTTTTTTATTTCTAAGAAGAAAAATTATTATTTCATTATAATGTACACCAATGTTTTTACATAGTTGAACCATGTAGCGGACATAGTTTTTATAAAACAACCTTTTTTAACAAGTTCTGAAAAAAATTGTGTTCTACCACTTTGTCACGATAGCTCATGTGGTAGAGCAGCGGCATATTTAGCCGAAGGACGTGGGTTCGAATCCCGCTCGTGACACTGACGTTTTCATCTCAACCAATGCCTTACATAAAGATTTTTATATTTATGTTCGATCCATCATCTTTCGAAAGTATATCATTAACTTCAATGCAAAAATTTAAGTTAACAAACGTCAGCCAAATTGGTGGGGAGTAAAGCTTCCTCACGTTTAATTTCCCGCAGTAATGGTTTCAGATATACAACTGTGTATGAGATTGCACGCTTGAGCATGGTCATCCGATTGTTATAAAATTCATAGGGCTTATCTCGAAAGCAACCCTCATAATCCGTGAAAATTTCATAAAAAATGGCCTTATGGTTCCGGAGTTTTCCCGGGTACATGGAATTGACCACAGACAGACAGGCGCTGAACTAAATTTGTTTAGAAAAGTCTGAACTGCAAAATGCGAGTGGAAATTTTGAATTTGGGTGACAAAATTTTTTTCGACTTTCCCATTTCCCAGCATGAATTTCAGGCTTCCCTACCTTCGGTAGTTTGGAAGCAA